TCTAGTTCTCAACTCTTCCACAATGGGTAACAGCATCTCGGCATCTACCCTGTCAAACCTCCTAAAAATGTTGTGTTTCAATACGGTCTCATTCTCTCATCTCCAATGAGTACAGCCCAACCTACTCAACATCTCAAGAAACTCCCTATATACTCAAGATTAATCTATAAAACCTTCTCTAGACTGCCTCCAATGGTGGTTTACCTTTTTAGATAAGGGGACAAAAACTGTTCACAGTATTCTAACTGTGTCCTAACTAGTGCCTTGTATAGTTTTAGCAAGACTTTCCATTTTTATGTAGATGCTGGAAACCTGAAACAAACACAGAGGCTGGAGGAACTTGGCAGGTCTGGCAGTATCTGTGGAGAGAGGAACAGAGTTAAAGTCTGAAATCTGTTATGAAAGGTGTTGGAATTTTTTTTTTAATATTACATTTGACCAGAATCAGAGGAGCAGCAAGAGGCCCAGTGCAAAAGATAACAGGGGTTGTTAATGGTGATGAAAGAGAAAAAGAGATTTGAAGTGGGTGTAAAAATGTGAAGGAAGGTAATGCCTCCTGTGTACTTAAGCAAAATAATGTGGACAGGGGCAGGGAGGAAAGAATGGAAGAAAAATGAAGAGCATAGATAATATGGTCATTTTCTGAAGTTACGGAATTCAGTATTGAGATATTCAGGCAGTAAGGTGGCTAAGTGCAAAATCAAGTTTGTTCCTCAAGCTTACATTGTGCTTTGTTGGAACATTGCTGCAGGCCCAGGACAAAAATGTTAGCGTGAGAGAAAGGTGGTTTATTGAAATGGCAAATAATGGGGAGATCAGGGTCATTCCTATGGACAGAGCGTGGCGTTCTGCAAAGCAGTCACCCAATCCTGTTTGGTCTGGCCAGTGTAAGCTATGTTTGGGGCCTTGAACAGTGAGGAGGGTGGAGGTGAACGAACAAATTATAACTGTGATTGCTTGAGGGGGAGTCAGAGATGGGATTATATGAAGGTGAGAAAAGAATGACAGTTGAAAGCAAAACTGATTAATTTTCCCAATTCTAGATGAGAGCAGGAAACAGCACCGAAGACTGTGTGAATGTATCAGCGAAAGAGTCGTGGGTGATATCCCCAAGTAGGACTGGAACAACGAATGTTACACAGCCCGCAAAGAGATGGGCATAATTGGGACTCTTGTGGATACCTGTGGCCACACCTTTTACTTGGAGAAAATTTTATGAGTTCAAGGAGAAGTTCCCTATTTCATCCCCTTTTAGATAAAGGCCAGCATTCCATTTGCCTTACCGCTGAATTTATATGCCAGCTGAAATTGCATGCTGAATAATTTATCAAAGACTTGGACAAGGGACCGAATGTATGGTCGCTAAATTTTCAGGTGAAACCAAAATAAGTCGGTGAGTTAGTTGTGAAAAGGGCATAAGGATATCCATACCAATATGGATAGGTTAAGTGAATGGGCAACATTTTGATAGCTGGAGTATAATGTCAGAAAATGTGAACTTGTCCATTTTGGCAGAAAGAATAGAAAAGTAGCATATCATTTAAATTGATTTTAGGTTTCTAGAACTGAGGTACAGAGGAATCTGTTCTAGTAAATTACTGTGCAAATTCAGCAAATGATGAGGAAGGTAAAGTAAATGCTTATTGTAAGGGGAATGAAGTGTAAGAGCTGGGAAGTTTTACAGCTGAATCTACATCAGAAATACTGTGTATGGTTTTGGTCTCCTTTATTGAAAAAGGGACATAATTGCATTAGAATCAGTTTAGAGAAGCTTCACTCAGCTCATTCCTGGGATGCAGAGGTTCTCTTTATAAGGTACAGTTAGTCAAATTTGACCTGATACAGTGGAGTTTGGAAGAATGAGAGGTGGTTTTATGAAGCACAAGATCCTGAGGAAACTTGACAGGATGTGCTGAGAGCATGTTTTTCCTTGTGGGAGAAACTAGAACTGGGGACATGGTTTAAAAATAGGGTATCTCCCATTTAAGAAAAATGAGAGAATGTTTGTTTGTTTTTTTCTGAGGATTGAAAGTCTATGAAGTTCTGTTCCCCAGAAGGAATGGAGGCAGTGTTATTCAGTATTTTCAAGGTTGTTGTCGGTGAATTCTTGACTAATAAGGAAGTTAGAAGGTATAGGTTGGAAATTGAAGTTGAAGCAAAAAAATCAGATCAGCCACAATCATTTTGACAGTAGAGCAGGTTTGAGGAGTTCAGTATTCTACCCCTACTCATGGTTTGTATGCATGTGCTTTGTGGGTCAAAGCATTTTAAAAGCATAATTTTTTAAAATTAAAAAGTTTAATTAAAATTGCATGGCTTCCCTTTTGCAAATGTTGATGAATTTGTACACTCTGCCATATCTGAAGCATTTCAATTGACGGAGTTCAGTTGAGGGTTTTCCGTTAGCTGGTGGTACAAAGAACAGAGGATACAGATTCATGGTCTTGGAAATGAGATACCATTGAATGTAAAGAAGATTTTTTTTTTTAAACACAGTAAGTCTAAATCAACTGGAATTTGCTGACTATAGGGGTGATGGCAACAGAGATGATTAATGATTTCAAGAGGAAATTGGATCTGCAGTCTTGTAGGAGTGGTAGGAATGGTTGGGTCTATGCCAGCTCTCCATGGGGAAATTCAATGTGCCAAATGTCCACCTGTTTCATATGACTACTGCGTTATTCCATATTGTTAAAAATGTGCTTTTAACACTTTTTCAAAACAAATATATTACCATCCACATTATACATTACACTGAACAACTTCAGGTCGCATTCACCTTTTTACTATTTTAATGAAACAAAATACACCAAGGTCCTTAAGTTGGTTACTTTCTGAGATGGAATAGAAAAGATTAGGGACCATTGCTGAAGGCATGATTGAAGAGTTTGGTCCTAAGAGGATTTGTGGTGATAAGACCTAGCATGATAAGCTGTAGGGGTTCAAAGAAAAGTTGAAGTGGGAGAAAGATAGATTTTGTGCTTTCACTAATTGGGGGACAAAATGAGGGAATATGCAGCAGACCTGCTTTCTAAGCATGAAACGTGCAAAGCTGGTCTACTCCCAGCCTGGAGTAATGGCAGAATTACATTGGAGGAATCTGCAGGATGGAATTTAGGATTTGATGAGGTATAATTAATGAATGGAGCTTGGAATAGATATATTGTGGAGAGTGGTATTTAGCATGGTTTTGAATTTACATATGGTGGGTATTGAACTCTGAGTTAAGAACTTCGTGTGAATTTCATAGAATCATAGAATCATAGAATCCCTACAGTGTGGAAACAGGCCCTTCGGCCCAACAAGTCCACAGAACATCCCACCCAGACCCATCCACCTATAACCCACCTAATCTACACATCCCTGAACGCTATGGGCAATTTAGCATGGCCAATCTACTTACCCTGCACATCTTTGGACTGTTTCTTTCCTCCCTGGAGGAGGTGAGAAGGAAATAATTGGACGAGTTTGCTCTGGAGAGAAACTTGCCCTCTCGTCTTGCTACTTCTGCAATTTAGTGCTGCATAAGAAGGTTCATGCATGACATTCTCAACTCGCCAGCAATCAAGACCCTTAAGTGGTCAATTAATGGCCATACAAGGACCTCAACTCGTCATTTCCCTAATCACCTGCCTCCCCGGTGGGTGCAAATTCCAGGTTCCCAGCTGGGATAACACATGGACTTGCATGCTGAGTTTTTTTTTGGTGGGTCTCAGTGAGGGCTATTGAGAGGCATGGAAAGCAGGCAAAGTGGCAGCCCCTGAAAGATACCATCTCTCACCATGATATCTAGCCTCCAACGAGAAGATAAAATGACTTGCTCCTGGATCCCCTAGGAACAGGCCTCGTCTAGTGATCTTTGCCAAGAAACTTTCTTCTGTGCTGCTCTTGTCTCTTGAGTTGATAAGTAGGTAGTGAGACATGGACTGTTATTTGCCACCTAGCATGCTTGTCCCGACACTTAAGAAAAAATGGGGGCACCTCACCCTTAGAATTTTAAGGAGGCCACCATTAAGCAATTTATTTTGACCTTTTTAAATAGTAGCTACTAGTTGGACAAAAAAACCCCAGAAATTTGAGTTATTCTTTGGATCAATCCAATTGAAAAGGATTTTAGATTTAAGTAATTTTAAACTTTATTCTTCCTAAGTGATTTTTAATTAGTCCCTTGATGACCTTTGATGGTTTTATGATGAAACTGCTTTTTTAATATTTTCACTTCCTCTCCACGACTCTTTTGTTTTAAGAGAACACTGCAGTAAATATTGTTGCCATTCACCTTTGAGTAGTTTCACTACAATACATAGGTGCACTATGGTACTACTAAATTTGAATGCAAGATGGTGAATAATTCAAAATGCAAGATTGGCATCAGAGTTGAAAAGGTGCAATGAACAATTGTTCAATAACATTTTCATCTGCTCGGGATTTAAAAACAATAGTTACTTAGTTTATTGGCTTGTTCGTTGGATTAATCTCTGTTCATCACTGACTAGCAGGTCCAATGAGAAACAGTTCAGGACTTGAATGTGTGGAGTGAAAATCATGTCTTTTACAACAGATTTGGACCAAGAAACAAAATACTTCTTGTTTTTGCTCAGTTAGTTTTAAATTGAACTTGTTTGTCTCTGCATGGAATTAATGGACTGGTTTTTAAGACCTCTTGCTCAAAGCTTTCTGTTGAGATAAAGTGTAACCTTTAAATGGGCACATGAAAAATAATGCTTTTTGATTCATTTAGGCAAAATACAGAATTCTGCTTTACATATATTTGATTTCTTAATTGATTGAATTGTGATAAGTTTCCAGCGATATTTAACTGTGGTATTTGTAAATACAGTAATATGCCCAAAGCAACATCTAGTGTGTGTAAACTAGAATATTAAAGTGAAAACAAATCATTAACTTGAAATTCTAGAAAGAGTCCAGAAAAATGTCAGTTTTCTTCCAGTCAAATTTTCAAACCACAATATGTGGTTTTAATTTTATTTTCCAGTGCCAGAACCTACCAAGACCAGTCAAAGCCAGCCACAGCCTGCCAATTCCTGCAACAGCACTTCCACGACCACCATTACTAACAGCAGTGGAAGCAATGGCAAGCGAGCTTCTATCAATTGTCAGCAACAGGCCTTGTCCCGCTACCCACCTCGCGAAGTGCCGCCACGCTTCCGGCATCAAGAACAGAAACAGCTATTGAAAAGGGGTCAGCCACTGCCACCTGGGACTGTCATCAGCAATAGTTTAGCACAAGGTACAGGGCAAGTGGCAGCAAATTCTTCTCAGCACAGTGTTCAACAGGCATCAGGTGGACAACAGCAACTCCAGCATCCCGGCAAAGGACAGACAGGTAAGAGTGCTTGGCAAACCGCACAAATGAGCGATCAATTAAAAAATAACTTCTGAGTTAAGTTCAAGCTGAACCTTTTGGGTATTGGGCTTGGGTGATAGTGATATTTATTTGTAGTTTTTAAGCATACATTTCAAAATGTGTCATTGAATTCTGGATTTGTTGTGTGTGGAGCATTGCATTTTGAATAGTGGTTAAAATTTCAAATTCTTTATGTTCCCATTTCATTTTCCCTCCTATTTTGAGTAAAAATCAGATTTGAACATTTTAAGGCAAGCTTGTTCAGCTGCACGATGTTTATCAGTTACACTTGTTAATGCAATACAGGTATCAAGGTTTCTGGCTATAGTGTATTGAAATATTTGACATTTAAGGTGGTTGAAAGTTCTGAGCATTCCACAGAAGAATCTCTTTCGGTCAGTGGGAAAATTTGGTTTGATTACTTTTGATTGCTATTTTAAATTGAGCATTCTTTTGCCTGTCTCTTCATTTCTTTCCTCCTTGAGGAGGATCAGAAATTCATGAGTCATTTTCTTGTAACCATTGAAAGCTGTGTAGGAAAGGGGACTTTTGACTAACTCGGCAAAGCAAAGAACAAGTTATGCAATGTTGACAAACATAACGTTTTTACTTTTTGAAGTTTTTATTTGTGGATTGTGATCTGAAGGTTAAACATCTGATTAATGTTGAGGAGTAAGTTTGAAATTGAAGGCACTTTTATCGAAATGATTGCAGCACTCATAACAAGATAGATGAAATAGTAGTGCAAATAGAAATAATGGAGTATGATATGATAGCCACATGAACCACAAATGTACAGAAGTGATGGTAAAACATGAAAGAACATTGGCCTTGACTAGAATACTGGGTTCAGTTCCTGACATCACATGCCGATGAGATTTACTTGGATGGTACTGAGGATGTGTGACTTGAATTGCCTGAAGAAGCAATAGGTGCTGAGGTTGTTCTCTTTAGAATAAAGAGATAGGAGGAGACTTAATAGATGTATTCAAAGTCAAAAAGAATTTTAGTAGAGCAATAAGGGGGGAAAAAAAGTTTCCCACAGCAGATGGGTCAATAAACACAGTATGTGGATTTATGTTAGATGACAAAATAGCCACAAATAAAAGGAAGTATTTGTTTGACACAGGAGTTCATGTGACTTGGATTCCATTGCATGAAATAATGGTGGTACCACGTTCAATGATGACTTTCAAAATTGGATAAATATTTAAAGGGACATAGTGGCAGAGCTTTCTGAATAGGCATGATCTGGCATTAATCAGATCACTGTTTTGGCACAGCTTCAGTCTGTGCTGTAAAATCCATGATTCTGTGAACTGTTGGTACCCAAACTTGGGCCTGAAGCCTTATGAACTTAAAAATTGAGTCAACAATGGAACTCTAATAAATCTTGAAGATTCCATAGTTTCTGTCAGACAAATAATTACTCCAAATGAGGCAGTGTATGTAGACTTTAACATAAAGCAATTTGTTTCAACAGTAATTGATATTCTTTCATGAAAAGGTGTCAACTTCATGGGGGGGGGGGTTCAATTTCCCTTATCAAATAAAGATGACATCATCTACAATTGGGAATATAATACTTAAAACCTCCTTTGTGGAAACGCTTTCAAATGAGGTTTTTTTGCAATTTTGCTGTTACAGATACCATTTGCAAACATGAGCACGACCACGCACCTTGGGTCTGATCAGCAAACTCTGCTACTTCCAGCTTCTCAGGTTAAGCAACCCTTATTTTTCCTCCTCAGAGTTGGTAATACTGATCTAGCTGACTGCCTTTCCTTTTACAAATGGGCTGTCCTTTACAGTCCAGCACAAGACTACTTTCACCAGTGGAATTTATAAAACTACATGTGCTATTAGATTGGCTTCATCATATATTTTGTAATAACAGCCCTTAGCCATTTGCTTACCTTGCAAGTTTGACACCGAAATAAAGCGTGTCAAAGTCAACCTTCAGAATACTGGCTATCTTGACAAGATCGTCGTTCTGTGTATTGTACAAACTGGCAAATAGGCCAAAGACCACCATTTTCAGACCTGTACAGTTCCCAGTCCACCCTGAGTTGTCCTGGAAAGGCAATTTAGTTTAAAAATTTGAACAACAGGTTCAACGAGTCATTTGATGCTACAATTATACAATGCCTTTGCCATTTGAACACTTGAACAACATGTTGACACAAATTCATACACACTGCTAGGTATGTCTGCTGTACATCACAATGATTGGCTGATTGATTCGAACAGCGTAGTCCTTAAGCTGTTTGTAATAGGTAGAGTAGTGTTCTTAAATCAGCCAGCCTTGTAAACCCAAGACAAAATGTGTATCATTTGATGTCATTTTACAATTCTGTCAAATTTGCTGAACAGTCTCAAAAGTGCTTTGTTTGTTTATGGGATTTGAGCATTACAGACAAAACCAGTATTCATTGCCTATTCCTAATTGCCCTAGAAGAGGTGGTAATAAGCTTAATGGGGTGTTTGAATGCAGTTCATTGGGTATAGGGATACCCACAGTGCTATTAGGAAGAGAGCTCCAGGATTTTAACGCAGTGATAATGAAGGTACTGCAATATCATTCCAAGTCAGGGAAGCATGTGGCATTCCCATGCATTTGCTGCCCTTGTGGTCCCAGGTTTTGAAGGTACTGTCTAAGGAGAACTGCTGAGCTACTGCACAGCATTGTGTACATAGTACACGTTTTGTGTCGGTGATGAAGGGAGTGAATATTGAAGGTTGTGGGTAGGTTGCAAATCAGATGTCATGCAGGACAAAGCAACATCAAACTTCAGTGTTGATAGACCTGCACTTGTCCAGGCATTACACTTCTAACGCATCTTGTGACTTGGAGAGGCATTGGGGAGATAGGAAATGAGTTCTTGTCGCAGAATTACTAGCTTTGGCGAACATTAACAACCAACTTAAAATAAGTATTTGAGCTCAATGTGGCTAACGTAGACTTGTCCAGCTTTGAATTGGAGAAATTCTGAACTAGTCCCACCAAACCACACCACACATTATTCTGTACAGCATCATGTATGAGTAAACCACAAAAAGACATTATTGCATCTGCCAATCTAGATTTAAACTATTACAAGCTAATCAAACAAATCGGCTTGGCCTTTTTCATTTTAATGTACTAATATCTAGTTCATCATTTTTTTAACTAGAACTTTTAAAACTCATGAAATTACTATCATGAGCCTCACTCGACTATTAGAATTTGTCTGTCTTTTCAGTAGATTGTGTGACCATTTTGGGGATAACTTTCATTGGTTCTTTGACAAACAGCTAGTGCTTGGAAGAAGAGCTGATTGAGGGGAAATTGAAATATGTAACTCAAGAGTCAAGCTTCATGTGTCCAGTTATGATGACTGAACTGTGTAACACCTATTGGATAATAAGACTCAAGCATACGATTGGCTGGGTTAATTAACCATCTCTTTTAAAGAAGCACAAAGTGACCAAGTGAAATTATACAGTTGTGTAATATGTTTTAATTTTATGAACCCAAGTTTAAATTTAGCTTTTTATATTCATTTTCTCACTTGTGTTTTTTGTACTTATTTTACAACTTTTCATCTTGTTTTCTGAAATGTATTAGTTCCTTGTTCGGATAGTATTGCAGTTGGTCTAATACTTTGGATATTCAATCATAGAGTTGTAGCATTAAGTACTGGCAGATCAAATGATCTCTGACAGTTGGAGATGCCCAGCCAACGATTCAATCCCATTTTCCAGTGCCTTGACACCATGAGAATGCATTTAAGTGCTTTTTCAATGTTGTAGGTGTTCCTGCCTCTGCCACCGAAGCAGGCGGTGGGATCCGGATTTAATGTTTCTTCCTGTCTGTACTCCGTGATGTTTCCGTGCTGTATAACTCTTTGACTCTGTGGCTGTGTAACAAGTCTGGTGAACCTTTTATTGCACTTCCTCTATGACAGTAATATCTGTGGTCTAACCTAGCTCCTATAAATAGTGGATAAAACAGTGGATGAAAAATGGGAGAATTTCAAAAAGATGATGAATAGGGTGCAAGCTAGGTATATACCAATGAAAAATAAATACAGGGTATTCAAAGATGGAGTGACCTGGATGACTAAGGATATTGATGAGAAAATAAAGAGGAAAACATAAGCATATGATGCATACCAAAATAATAATAGCAGAAATCCAGAGCATCTCAAATGCAGGAGAGAAATAAGGCTGGAGTAAGGAAAGCTAAAGAGGAAGCATGAGGAAAGGGTGGCAGGCTCCACTAAGACAAATAGTAAAATGTTCTTCAGGCGTATTAATAGTAGAAGTGTTTTTTTAGTGAACGATAGAGTGGGCCCCAAAAGGAACAAGCAAGGTAAACTGCTCACTGAAGCAAAGGATATGGCAGATGTACTAAATGAGTTCTTTGCTTCTGCCTTTACCAAATTAGAAGACGGTGACAATGAAAACCTGGGTGTTGAGCAACTGCGCAGTATAGTGATAGATAAAGAAGAGGTGCTAAAAAGGCTGGCAGCACCCCAGCTAGAGGAGTTGCCAGGCTTGGATGGGATGCATCCTAGATTGCTGACTGAGTTAAGGGAGCAAATTGCAGAGCAGTTGACTCCAGATCTCTCTGAACATAGGCTTAGTCCCGGGATACGAGAGGATTGCAAATGTGACACCATTGTATACATAAAGGATAACCCAGGAAACTACAGATCTGTCCGCTTGACATCAATAATGGGAAAACTGATGGAGGCCATAACACGAGATGAGGTAAATATACATTTAGAGAAAAATAGGTTAATACTAGATAGTCAAAATGGCTTTGTCAAGGGCAGGTCATGCCTAACAAATTTATTGAATTCTTTGACAAGGTGATACAGACAGTGGATGAGGGTGTGTCGTTGATGTTGTATATTTAGACTTTGGGAAAGCATTTGATATGCTGCCATGTGGCAGATTGATTACCAAATTTGAAACGTTTGGGACTGATCCAT